GTAAACTGGTGTTAACCCCTCTGGAAAACAGTGTGGAGGTTCCTCAAAAAATTAACAGTAGAACTCCCCTATGACCCAGCAATAGCATTTCTAGGAATTTACCCAAAGGATAGAGGAGTACTGATGCATAGGGGCACACATACCCCAATGATCATAGCAGCACTTTCAGCAATAGCCAAATCATGGAAAGAGCCTAAGTGTCCATCGACTGACAAGTGGATCAAGATGATGTGGTTTATCTATACAATGGAATACTACATGATAATGAGAAAGAATGAAATCTGGCCATTTGTAGCAATGTGGATGGAACTTGAGGAGCAACGTGGATGGAACTTGAGGGTATTCAGGCTGAGCGAAATAAGTCAGACAGCGAAAGACAGATACCATATGTTTTCACCTATAGATGGATTTGGAGAATGTTAATGGAGGACCATGGCGGAGGGGAAAAATAGATGGGGAGAGGGAGGGAGGCAAACATGCACGACTCTTGAATACAGAGAACAAACTGAGGGCTTTCCGGAGACCTCCTCCGGCCGGGTCCAGGGGTCCCTGGAGGATGGACGGTGTTGGCGAGGGAGGGATGAGAGAGCCCCAAGAATCTTTCTGGTCACTAGGCAGGCATCTCTGCTCTGACTGTGGCTCAACTTTATTTTATAATGAAGTGTTTGGGGGACAGCACAGAAGTGGCGTTTGCCTTAGACAATGATTTCTGATGACAAACTTCTTTGATATGTAAGAATTTCCCAGAACATAGATTTGTAGAAGACTCATGCATAGCCCTTATCAATAGTGATTGAGGTGGGTGATTTAGATGCTTATCCTGTGGGGAAGGTAGGTATCTTTAGCATACAAGACAATGTTTTTTGAATAAAAAAGGGTAAAGTTAGTTCTTTGTGAACAGGGGTCAATAGCTCATTTGTTTAAGGAGAAGTATTAAGAGAAACAGGAGTTTCAGGAAATACAACGTTTGCTCCCATAATTACAAAAGAAGTTCCTCAATAGGTTCCTTCACAGGGTGCAATCAGCATATTCAAGGCCAGAATAAGTCACTTGGAATATTGATCACAAGCTGCCTTCGGGGTGGGGATGGGCATGGAGGAGGGCACTTGTTGGAATGAGCACTGGGTGTTATATTGAAACCAACTTGACAATAAACTATGAAAGAAAAAAAATAAAATAAAATGGAATAATTTTCTCCTGAGGAAGGTCTTTCTGCAGATATGAATCTGATATTTCACAGAGAATAACCACTAGCAATGTAGGATTAGTCAACTATATCTATTTTGTAGTCTGTTCACTAAAAAGTCTGATTTTAAGAAAAAAAATCCACAAAAACATTACTCCTATGAGAAATTTACATTCTGTGTGATGGCATCTGCCTGGTACAAAATATCTCAAGGATTCTCACATTGTTAAATATATTTTTTTATTTACAGTATATCAAGATTTCTGTGATAATTGTCATATATATTTTGAAATTCATCTCCACGAGTTACAGATTCCATGAAGCTAAAAGCTGCAAAATGTAAAGACATTTCTTAAAGCAATTAATTGTCTTCACCAATAGATGTAGTGTACTACTGCAGAATAATGAATTAAATAACCTGAGTTTACCTATAATCATACATTCTTGGTATGGAACCTTAAAAATAAATCTCTTTAGAGATAGAGTCATCATTGATCACCCTTTGCTGGGAACTGTATCTTTACATAGACACATGTTCTTCAACCCCTTACAATGAAAGAAAGAAAGAAGAGGTTGGACAATTGCTTGCTAAAATGCTTTTGGAAATGACAATAAAAAACCAGAGATATCTAACAGAAGCTGAGCAGTCACAACATAATATAAGTTGTTCAAACCAGTCTCTAATTTTTACAGTGTGTAATTTAGCAAATCTTACCCCTCTGCTTTCCCCCAACCTGTCAACCTTTATTTCTCTTATCCTGTTGTGACAATTTTCAGAACATAAGATTTAGAGCCACAGATCCTTATTTAAAATTAACTGTTTACTATGTCACTAATTTTGCAGAAGTTTCGTCTCAGTACCTCAGCGTTTTTAACCTCTGAATTAGAAATAATTATAAATCTCAGCTCAGATAATTAAATAATAATATATATTAAAGTGCTTTATAAATGTTATAATAAGATAATAATAGTAATAATAGGAGTAGTGGTCATCAGATTCTAGATTCCAACGGCCCTGGATTTGTATCCCACATCTACTATATATTTGCTATATACATTTAGTTCATTAATTTCAGCCTCAGCTTTGTCATCCATAAAAAGGGAGGATTAATTTTAGTCACATGGTTGTTGTGTTTCATGATATATTACATACAAATTCTGTATAATGTCTGGCCTGTAGTAATTATACCACAAGTAAATGTTAGTTGTTATTATTAAGTATAATTTATTGAGTATTTGTGATACACTAAGTATTTACAAATGCTGATATCAATCACCCTCAAACTGATAAGATCAGGAGACATTACCATCCACCATAAATAGAGTAACAAAGGATAAAACTAGCTGGCTCAAGGCTAGAAAATGATAGTACTAGAATTTGAACCTAATTATATCTGACTAAAAAGTTCAAGAATTTTGGAATATATAAAAACATAAAATATATTTATTAAATGTTATTTTTATAAAAGTTTATTTTGAGAGAGAGAACATGAGCAGGGCAGATAGAAAGGGAAAGAGAGAACAACAAGCAAGCTCCACATTGTCAGTGCAGAGCCCTATGATGGGCTTCAACTCATGAACTGTGAGAATATGACCTGAAATGAATCAAGAGTCAGATGCTTAACTGACTGAGCCACTGAGGTGTCCCTATGAAATATTAATTTCATGCATCATAAGTATTTATAATGATGACTTAAATGATCATATTTATAATGTGTAAAGACTGGAAGGGATTATATTTTTATTACTACATCATGTAGTTTAACTGCAACAGAATTTGACAAGTTTCATGTTTTTCTAAGCTTTTATAAATATAATGCAACAGTAGAATATTTTGACAATAATTTTCTGTAGTTATTTTACTTATTTATTTTTTGAGTAAAAGTTTTAATTAACAGCAGTGTCATTTGGTATAGAGAAACACATTTCAGTTATTTTTGTGTAATATTTTATTATTTGTAGCTTCAAAAAAAGAACCTCAGGTAGGTTATCTAGGACTCAAGGAAAATACTTGTCAGTGTCTGCCCATTGTAAGCACTCAGTTTTTATTGGATGAATGTTCAGATTGCCACGAACACTTTTGTTTTCCTTTGCCCAAAACAAATGAATATATATTTAAAGAAAACAAACAAATTTACTATAAATATGGAGGTGTATATATTTTTCAATAATGTTTTTTTCAAAGTTTGAGTTTCCCATCACATTGCCTCTTGTATTTCTTTCCTGATATTTTCCTGTGGTTATCCACAAAGATTGTGAACCTCCAGCTGTTTGGCACAGACATTAGAAATACATCTTTTCTAAATTCTTCCTTCTTCACTTTTCTTTCTTTTCTTAGTTTTTTTAATGTTTATTTACTTTTGAGAGACAAACATGTGGAGCAGGAGTGGGGCAGAGAGGGAGACACAGATTCAAAGCAGGCTTCTGGCTCCAACACAGCCAGACACAGGGCTCAAACTCAAGAACTGTGAGATCATGACCTGAGCTGAAGTGGAAGCTTAACTGTCTGAACCACCAAGGCACCTCACTCTCTTTATTTTTCAAAGGCAGTGTTTTAAAATGAGGACAGTTTTGACCCAAGGAGATATTTAAGATTCTTTGGAGATATTTTTGATTATTACACTTTGTGAAGGGGTTTTGTTGGAATCTAGTGGGTATGGACCAGGGATGATTATAAACATTCCACAATACACAGGGCAGTCCACACAACAAAGAATATACCAAAATGTATTTGTGCAAAGTTGAGAACCTTGACTTCAGGTCACTGTGTAATCGAATTCACAATTAATAAAAATAAAGGACAAAATTTTACTTTTTTTTAAGTTCACAATTAAAGATGCTAAAGATCCTAAGTATGCATATAATTCTGTGAATTTTTACAGTACAACAAGCTAATAACACTAGCACTCTCCCCAGAACATTTACTCATCATTTCTCCAGTGGAATTAACTCCTCAAGCCCAAACTGTCACCTGAGGTCCAATTTTATTTCTACTTTTCTATGAAATTTTCATTAGTTTAAAACCTTTATCATTGGATTTCTTGGAGTATTAATAAATTAAATATGATCAAATCTAGTATCTGGCATATAAAGGTACTTAATAAATTCAAGTGTTCTTTCTTCTTTCCTCCTTTGTATAACTTTTCTCTTCTGACCTCCTTCTTGACATTATTTACCTACTGATGAACATTTCATTGTATACAGTTTTGATATTTTTATTCATTCATTTGGCTTTTTTTGAGGGCATGTCTCATTTATTCTACAAAAATATATTTATTTGCATTACATAATTTATTCTTTATAGTCCAGCATTATTAGGAGTAAATAGTGCTTGATTGAATGGATGAAGAAATGAATGTACGAACAATACATGAGGACCAATGTTTTCATATCTGTAGAACCTAAATAGTTACACAATATTAATGCATGACTTTTTATGTATTAGATATGTTTTTTAACATTTTAAGAGTTTACAAAGTTTTGGGTTTTAAAAAAATGTTTTTGTTTTATTATTTCCTTTAGCTCTGCTTTAGATGAATACAAAGATATATATTTTAAAATGTACAACACCACTATTTGATATGTTTGATTTTTATCATATATGGCATATTTTTTAAAGAAAGCTTAGTCATTTAAAAAATTCTAGTTGGGTCTCTAATTCGCTAAAATAACGTAATTTGCTAGTTATAACGTTCTTTGATAATAATGCCTCTTGAGTACAAGGAAAGAGCAAAAATCTTAAATACTAAAATAATGGAGAAAGAATCTTGATATTTTGAGAAATTTTGAAGTGTGTCTTTTTTGACCCTTACAGAAAGTGTGGACTACGGACCAATGTTTATACAAGAACCAGATGATATAATTTTCCCAACTGATTCTGATGAAAAGAAAGTAGCACTGAATTGTGAAGCTCGTGGCAACCCAGTTCCCAATTACAGGTAGAAATTCACTATTAATAATTTTCTTACGTTTTAAAAATTCCCACCAGTAAGATTCTGACACTCTCAGGGAGTATTATAATATGTCAAGTAATTTTTACATATATTTCTTCTGATTTTTCATAAGATGGCTTCGTAATGGAACAGAAATAGATTTGGACAGTGACTATCGCTACAGTTTGATAGACGGGACCTTCATTATAAACAATCCAAGTGAAGCCAAGGATTCTGGTCATTATCAGTGTTTAGCAGCCAACACGTTTGGAAGTATTCTTAGTAGAGAAGCTATACTTCAATTTGCCTGTGAGTAAAGTATTTGCTTTTTTCATGTACCTGTATATAGAATGTATACATGTAATTTTAAATTTAGTTAGGCAAAATTTAATTAAGATGTCAAAATTTAAAATAGTGGTAAAACTTTGGTCAAGCTATACAATGTGTTTCTTTAAAAAAAATTTTTTTTTTTTACCTCTTTATGTTTGACACGGAGAGAGAGAGAGAGTGCATGTGAGAGAGAGGCAGAGAGAGAGGGAAACACAGAATCCAAAGCAGCCTCCAGGCTCTGGGCTGTCAACACGGAGCCCACAGGGGGACTTGAACCCACCAGACACAAGATCATGACTTGAGCTGAAGTCAGACACTTAACTGGCTGAGCCACCCAAGTGCTCCCAATGTATTTCTTTTGAAACTCCCTGGAATGTTTGCCCACTTCAAATAACTCAAACACACTAGTTTGGTAGGCTAAAAATGCTATTCATGAAAGCACATAAAGTTTTGAATTCAAATATTTTTTGAAATCCACTTAAAAATAGATTTTAATTCCTTCCCCTGCCTTTTATAATATCTATTTATCTGCTTTTATTCTTCTACAGTTTATTACAGTCACTAATTGCTATTGATTGTCTTGTTCATAAGATCACATATTCAAAAATTCTGCTTATAGTTAAGAAACTAAAGAAATGCCACTGAAATGCTTATGTTTCCCATTCCAACTACAACTTCCCTCTCAGATGTCCCAAATTTTTAATTAGAAAAAAGTTACAACATACTTATAAGCATGCATATATACTAGAATATAGACATTTTCTAAAATACACATTTATCTAATTAACTTTATTTAGCTCTTAAAAGTCCTGAAGCTATTTAACTTATGATGAAAGCTTATACCTAATTAAAGATTGGCTACTGAGGAAAAAAAAAAGTGTCATTTTTTAGTCAATAATCCTACTTGAAGATAAATTCTTGAGGATTACAATATCCAAAAAATAGATAGGTCAGTAGGAATCTTTGTGTTAATAATTTATACGTAACTTGTATTGGCTCTGTAATTCATCACAAAATGATTTTTTAATTTAAAATTATACCCTGAAGAATGGAATAATTGATTTTTCTCTCTATAGTCTTCCTCCCATGTTTTTTTCTAATTAGCCCAGAATCCAGACATCCTATTATAGGAGTGTGAAGGAGAAAGGAAAGAATAAAGGAGTGATAATAGATTCAGTTTGGAGAACATTGAGCTAGGTCCTAGAAAAATCTAAGTAGCATCTTTACAATAATTTGGCTAAGGAGTTCAGACTGGCACTTTACATATACCAAATATACCAAGATAGTAGCCTAAATATACTCCTTTTAATTTAGGAAATATTACGTGGTGTCATACAGAATGTAATACTTTTCAGCATGCACATCAAAAGAGTAATATAATAAACAAAATAAATAGCTTCCTAATTGCTCCTCTGTACATAGAGTAGTCTTTTTAAGACAGATACAGCAAATCCAGGGAACATGATGTACAAATACTAAGTGGCTTATACTTTTCTGTTTGGTCTACTATCTGACAAAAGTATACCAATTCATAATAGCTTCTATACCAATTGTTTATCCCCCAAATCAACAGTGAGGGCAAAATATATGCAAAGTTTTCTGTATGCTTCAGAGCAGAAACGTATATACTGTAAGATCCTATGTGTCTGTATGGCTATGACATCCTAGAATTTGTACAAACACCAGTCACCACTGTCAGATACTCACCACCACCTGCAGTGAGCACATGGTACCAGCATTTACAGTTCTATGGGATTCTAGGAGTCAAGGTAGTTTTGTGATTAGAGGTAAAATGAAGTAGGAACTTGGAAAGAAAAAAAGGGGTTTCGGAAAGTAAGTGAAAGATACAAAAGTAAAGTAAGATTAAAAACTTAGTGGCAACTTTCCTTTACATCATGATTTTCTGTTTAGCCTTATAGCTAGGTAGATAATGTACTCACTATATATTGATGATAGAATGCTTAAAGTTTAAATGTCTTTTGTGGATAGAAGAATGCTTATTACTCTTCACACATTTTAAAGCTGAAATCATTAATCCTTTATGTCTATCAGCCACTATTTATATAAAAATTTAAATATACAACTAATATTTTAAAACAAATATATTTTAAAAATTAGATAATTATCAAAACCTATTTAGTCAAATTAAATATTCAAGTCTATTACATGAGCCCATTAAACATTTTAAATGTCATAAAATTAACCAAATATACAAATTATCAAATTGATTATAAAACTTTTTTGTTAATACTTATAAGTAAACTCTGTCCTGTAGTTATTCTTGAGGCATATTTTTGTGCTTTACTCCGTTTATAATATTTTATTTTATAAATATTTTTACCTTTTATACATCAATTTCATCATCTATAATTCAGTAACTTCATCAGATAGGTTTTCTACACTATGTAGTGCTATTGTGATCTTCCAAAATTCTCTTTTCTAAGAGGATCATATTATTCAATCTAGATTTTGATTCTGAGTTATCAGTCAATTACATTTTGGTTACTCCTTTCAAATCTGAGACCTTTTTAACAGACATGGCCTCTTTTATAATTTGAACATTATTTTTGTATATCAGTATCACTTTATAGCTTTCACATGGGCTTTGCCTTTTGGACTATGATATAATTGCTTAGAATGTTATGACTCTAAGACTTATTGGACAGTGTTAAATAGTTTCCCTTAATTATATTAATAGAAAAAAGTACTAATATATACTTTATAGATATGTATTTAATTGAAGAAACAAATATCCATATGCTAGCAATCCTATATTCTATAAAGATAATAACATTTAAACATATCTTATTAGAGTCACTTTCTTTTTTTCCTTGGAAATTAAATATCTATATTAGACACACACACATCATATTAAGCTTTCTGATTTTGAGTAGTATTAGAACCACATAAGATTTTGCAGACTCAATTTATTTATACACATATACAAATTGCCACAATTTGGTTTTGGGATTCACCCAATCATAGCTTTTCTTTCCTCTATTAACCAAAAATATATTTTAAAATAGTCTAGCTTTCCACTAATAATATTTTGGTCCCCTGCCCACCTCCCAAGTCAATCATAAATTCAGCTACTTTCCATTGATCATAATGTATAATGCTATAGGAGACTGAGATCTAAATGTTAGAGGTGTATATAAGACTGTTCCAAATAAATTCTGATAGTGGGTAGGATGACACTGTTATTAAATCAGTTTAATAAAAGAGATTTTAAAAAAAAACATCTTTTTTAAGGCCTCAAGTAGATTATATTCATTGAACATTTTCTGCGGCAAACAATGTTATAAGAGTTTTAAAACACATTAACCCATTTTGTCCTCATAACCAACATATGAATTGCTATGTTATAAGATATAAATCCATTTTATAGTTGATACCTTTATTTGACTCTAATAATATTCAATCCTTCCCTATTCTAATATAAATATATATTATATTCACTTTGGCAAACTCAATTTGATTTTCAACTCCTCTCTCAAACTACATTTATATTGTAACTTTTCAAAATTCTTTGTATGTTTGCTTCATCAAACACCATTTTATAATCACTTTATTAACACCTATATGATATAATAAAAATGAATATTAACAACAAAAATAATTATGTAATTATTCTGTATTTCTTCTCATTGTTCAAATTTTAGTCAATGAGCCACTTGCTTAATTTTTCTTATGCAAGTTTAAAAGTTTAAAGATTACCACATTTCTTTGCGGATCTGAAAGTTGGCGATGTATACTAATTTTGGCATATAATTATTTTTTTCATATTTTCTCTTTTAACAAATGTTTTTTCTTCATAATTATATCTATGTATTGGATAATCTATGGTTAGAACCTGGAAAGCTAAGTTTTCTGAATGAATTTGAGGTAGGACAAAGATGACTATGGCTAATATCAGTAGCTGATAATATTATTATAGATCGTGGGTTTTGAAGGAAATGGGGATAAGGAAGTGAGCTTAGGCACTTTCACCTGGTGATGTAGCAATGCGTGAAAAATCAAGTGTAAAATATATCATTTTCTTTTAAGGTTTTGTTCCTCTTCACTTGTCACCCAACATATTAACAAATATGAAATAGAAAAGGTATATTTATGTAATAATTATTTTATTTTCTAATATATTTTTTCTCAATATAATTCCAAATGTGATTTGTTTAACTTGCTATATAAAATTATGTACCATAAAAGGTAAATATGTAAGTGAACAAATACAGCATCAGGAAAAAATACATTTCATAATTACTGTGGTCAAGACATAAATATATCCTTGGGACTCTCAGGGGTTACAACAAAAGGAAAAACTCAAACATTTAAAGAAGCCTAATTTCCCCCACGTACCTTAAGAGAAGAAAAATCTCTTCTTGACATATAATTCTTATGGAAATTTCTTGTTTGAGGCTTTATAGAGAGATCTGAACAACATCCTTACATCAGTTCAATAGCAAGTATAATTAGCCCGACATAAAACAGAACCAATTCTTTAGGTGTAACTACAGTGTAATCATGAAGCTATTCACTTCCTTCACTTAAAAATATTTTTTATATTTTGATTTGAGGAGCTAATGGATTTGAGAACCTGCTGTAGTCTTGTTCATGTTCCTCTTTTAACCCAACCCTTACATGTATAAATATCTACCCATGAGTATTTTTTTATTTTAAGTTCTCCCTAAATGAATATTTAAAAATGTGGTTCAGCATCATTAATGTTAAAAATATACCTTGTCATTAATAAATATATACCTCTTAAGGGCATGGTAAAAATTAGCAATATAAAGAAATCATGCCTGTGAACTGTTTTTTTAACTTCAGAAAGACATAAATAAACACAAAGTTGGATAACTGTCACTAGTACTGATTGTTGCTGGTTATCAATAACATTGATAATGATTATTTTTGACAGAGTATACTTATTCCTGTAGCTTATGTTTATCATCAGGATAATTTCCTCACCTAGTATAGTGATTTCTCTTCAGTGACAAGCAAAAATACACCATATAAAACTTTGTCACTCTATTAGCTTATTACCATGCTGATGAGACTTTGGAATTGATAGTATAATACCACACACTTTTCAAACATCCTTCAGATATCTAAAGCTAATAGCAATCTCTCTAAAATTTGGATTTTTAGAAATAACTCATACTAGTAAGTCAAACATAAAATGACTCAAGAATAAATACTAAGTCAAACTTAAATGAATCAAGAATAAAGTCTCCTCATGCTGTCTCTTGCCTCAACATTTCTTTATATGCCATCCCCAGTAAATTGATAGTTCATATCTAAATTTGAACATATTGCTTTTCAGGACACTTAGATGATTTAGATGCAGAATATTTTATTAGTTTTCCTTGAAGCAGTTGATTAAAATAACCTCTTTAACTCTTTGAGAGATAATATGATTTTTATAAACTTTGTATTTAAGCCCGTTAATTTAACCTTTCATTTTTATATAAAACTCAAAAATTACTTCTCTAGCTTTTCATAACATTTTCACTTAAAGTAAAATTGACCTTAGACTTTAAAACCACATTTAACTAGCATCTATACCTAATGAAATTATTTGAATAATTGCTAACTCCACAGTATATCCAAAGCTTTATTTCATTAGTCCGTGAGATTTTGTCCATAATAACTTCATTAAATCACGTGAATATCAATTTGAATGAATCACATTGTCATGGATAATTTTATTAGTTGTAAAATTATCTAATCTTATTACAAAATAAGTTTATGTACTTTGTAATTTCGTTTTCTATAATAAAAACAATTATGTTTTTCTTTTATAAAGTTGTTACTCAAAGAATATGGTTAAAATATTCCTTTCAAAGGGCAATTCCTCTGATCAGAATAGATGTAATAATTGTGAGTGTATGACTCCTTGAAAAACTATGGTATGGATTCTTTGATATTACAGAAAAAATTTTAATTAAAAATATATAATTTTACGCTTTAATGGGAAATTATAATGAATGAATCAAAGTTGAAATCTGTGCCAGATTGTCCTCAAATCCTTAATTCTATTACATAATGTTTTTGTATTTTATTTATTAAAATTCATCCAAACATATATTTTCATTACTAATGGAACTCATGAATAACTCTGTCCACATGTAATAAATGCCCTCTAGCAAAATGGACCACTTGCCTTACTTGACCTTTGATCTCACTGCTTTTCTTGTTCTTAAAAATGCAGAAAAGCAGTTCTTCACTCACATTATGTAAAGCAACCCACAAAGACTCAGATCAGGAATGTACCAATCCTCTGACCCTTGCTGTTCCAGTTTGTTTCCTAATCCATTGTTCTCTAATCCTTAGCAGAGAGTTTTTAGAGACTTCCCCAACACAAAACATTCCAAAGCATAAATGTATAATGGACTTCTAGTCCTAGATTTACTTGATTAAATGGCAGCTCCATTTCAGGATGATTTATAATGATACTAATAATATAAAATTTTTAAAAAGTATAAACAAAGGGGCAAACATGAATACAATTAATTTCCAACATTGTTTTATTCCACAAATCTCTTGGAGGGACAAGTTAAGATGAAACATGTAGTACCTAGCCTCGAGTCCTGCTTTGATTGAATTTCCACATCAAGTGCTAAATATTTCTACTCTTCATGTAGATGGATGGACAGATGGATGGATAGGCACATAGATAAGGATGTACAGATGTGTATATGTGTATGTGTGTAGGTATAGATGTGTATATGTATGTGTACATAAATTTAGCAATAACACCAGAATAACCAGCAGTAGTTACTGAACATTTAAAAGCCAAAAAACTGTTAAATACATTTAGTGCATCATTACCCTCTTTAATCTTCACATCAGTCTTATTAAAGAAATTCTATTATTGACTTAATTTACAAATAGAAAAAAAAAGTAGTCAATCTCCAGAATGTTGAGTTATTTTACCAAAGTTACATGGCTAGTAAATAAACAGTAGCTCCAACTCAAACCTAACTTTGAACTTTATACTTACAGTCTACCTTATACTTACTTAATCATGCACTGAATGTTTTGTTTTGTTTAGCATCTGTGGTTATTTTATTCATGGAACATTTACTCAATATCTTCTCTCTCTCAGGCATTGTTCTAGATATTAGGGGGCCTATAATGAACAATGCATCTTTTCACCATAGTTTTTAATTTAAAAAATAGAATAAGGCCTAATCTTAGAAATTAAGGATACCCGGATAGCCTTTTTTTTTTTTTTTTTTTCCTCTCTTGGAAATTGTACTGGTCCTGAGGAAAGGAAGGTAGGCAGCCCACACCTCCGGCTGCAGGTGCTGGGAGCTCTCACTGTTTCCGGTTCCATTGACAGGGAGGTTTGCTTGTGGGGTAAGAATCAAGAAAGGCCTTGAGATTGGACAGGCGTCAAGGCAAGCCACCTGGCTGAGAGCAGGGGTAAGGAACCCAGACAACAGGCAGCAGGGGGCCAGCACCTGATGAATCAGTCACGAGCAAAGGAGATCTGATTGCCTGGGATGAAAGCGTGGTTCTCAGACAGCAGTGTTTCTAAAGACTTCAGGAGCCCCAGTAGTACCTTCACATAACTCCTCCTTGGGTATATCCTTGTTGGTGTAGATGAGGATGAGGTTTTGCAGGGAAGATCCTCCACGCCTCCATTCACTACATTCCCCAGGGCCGCCTCCAGCTGGTCCTTCCTGTTATAGGCCAAGAGTATGGCCCAGATGTGGCAAGATGGCATTGGACTGGTACACGGTAAGGTCTGCATCCTGGAATTGGCATCCTGGAAACGGCCAATACAGATAGGAGTCCTTGAATGCACCCTGCAGTCAGATCTTCTTGTTCACTACCTCCTCCTCACAGCTCTGTCCCTGGTCAGCCAGCAGCAATGGCCTCACCCACCCTTGAACAGGGAAAGTAGACAATGGTGTAGGCCAGTGGCAGCATAGTGGTGGCAGAGCCCAGATAGCCTACTTTTGTTCAAACTCTTTTGTAGCACCTTAAGTTTATAGCTACAGTTACTGTTGTGGATGTAAACCATAATCAGTTGAAAAGCTAGTAGTGCTGAGTGTTTTTCTACTTTCAAAATTAATGGAAACAAGCTTTAACTGTGGTCCAAATTCAACTCTTTGAGTTTTATATTTTGGAAATACTAGTAATTTAAGATTTGTGGATATTAATCTAATTACATTTGGTTCATTTTCTTCCTAACAGAATCTGGATGGCATCATAAATATGGATGAGGCTAAATGAGTATTTATATATAAAACATAAAAATTAACTGTCAACATAATCTTGTTTACTTTTACAACTCTGGCACCTCTGCATCATTTTGAATATGAGATTTTCTTGTATCTTGTCAAACAAATTTCTCCATTACTAGCTAAAGAAAAATAAAATATTTTAATACACATATTTTACATTTCTTTTTGAACTAGAAATACTTGTCCTTATCCAGGGTCCCTTGAAATTCTTCCACCACAAAATGATATCCTTTATCTTTACTTATAACAGATGTTTTTGTTGCCCCCTCCCCCACCCAGGCCTCTGCCTTAGAGACAAATTATCATCTTCCTATAAAACTATAAAACAAAATTGCTTTTATTTATTCATAGGCTATGTAGGCCCATTTCATTCCTAAAATTTACAACCTTATACAGAGTGGAAAAAAAGAACAAAGAAAACTCATGTACATTTAACATAACTCTGTATTAAAATTGAACTTTCATAATTATCTTTCTTTTAAAATGGAATTTAAAATATATTTCATTTAGTTTAGAAAATAATGATTGATTAATTATTAACATATATAACTTGTCAAGTTGGTAGTCACTAGTAAATGACAATAATAGGAAAAACACAAGGCTAGACAGATGATTAAAACGATTAGCTTTAAAAAGATCTTAGAGAAAAGCAGCTCACCAGACGTTCTACTCTTTCACAAATATAATAACTTGTTAGAGAAATTTCCACCTCCTAAGGCCTCATTTAATAAATGAGCTGGCTTTTCTCAATTTCATAATAAAGGCATATAACCTGGCGATTCAATTTACCTTAATGATGATAAATTCTAAAGGTTGATGTGCAGGTGTGTGTGTGTGTGTGTGTGTGTGTGTGTGTGTGTGTGTTTGTATCATGTGTTTGGTTAAGAAGTGTCTTTCCTTATGCTAAAAAGACTGAATACTTAATCTAGGCTATAAACTTGTACTCCTTTATTATAAAACATTAATTCTAATAAAAATTATATTTTTAACATTAGCATAAGAAAGGAAATTGAGAGTTAGCATAGCTTGGAACCCTTTGTTGTATTTGAGATACTATATCTATCCTATTTATGACTTCTCTCTTAGTGAAAGGTAAAGTAGAAAATAGGTTAGTTGCTTTTTTTTCCCATCAGAGTGGAGCCTAATACAATAAGAGGGATAGGATAACACAGACATTTTTTTCTTTATTTAGAAGAACTAAATCAATGAGAGAAGTTACCATGGAAGGCAAAGAAACTGAGCAGTATAAATCATGGAAAACAATGGAAGATAGATTTTCCAATACAAGGATTTGCCAACCACGTCAAATGCAGTAAATTTATTTATAAGTAATAAGGATAAAGAAACTGTATTTGTCAATAAAGAGAGGAGTGTTGCATATAAAGACAGTACTTCCATTAGAAGAATGAGGTAGAGGTTAGTATACAGAATATCAAGCATAATGTAAGAAATTGGAAAAAAAAATCATTTGTTTCTTTAAAAGTTAGGCAGTGGATGGACAGTGGAATTTAAATAATAAGTTAAGAAAGCCACACATCATAAACACTATATTCCTTTTTTAAATTTATTTTTTAACGTTTACTTCCAAGTTAGTTTAAATGCTTTTTACACTCCAACAGTAAAATGCATCGGTGTTCTAGCTTCATCTTTCTCTTCATTTTACACTCAATTAATTTTTAACCATATTGAGGTTTTCTGATCTTATTTAAATTGAGCAGTTATTCCTGAAATAGGCTTTCAGTGTCAGTATTATATAGAATATAAGTCCTTCCTTGAATTATACTCACATGTAAATAGCAAAATTTACCAAAAAATTTCACCTTCATCCCATTTGAAGCTTATAAGAATCTCTAACCATCCAATATTATGCCTTTTCAGAGAGCTGCAGTAGACATATTGGCTTTGATTTGATTTACACATTGCCTGAGGACATGACCTACAGTCCTTATCCCAACATTTTCTTTGATATGATGCTCAGATATCTTAAAAGTACTTCATTCTTAGTTCACATATGAGGTTCAACACTTTGAGAGAATTTACTATTATGCATCACGTTCTTTAATGTCTTTCCTCCCCAATACTCCACAACATATTTAATATCTATTTGCTTTGTTTCTGTTTGTAATCCTGTTTTTACTATGTATAGATGTTCCCAAGTTTTGAACAATTCCCTCTCTCTCTCATTCTCTCTCTCTCTCTCTCTTCTATAAACTACCTCAGACACTATCTCATTCTCAACTATTAGCTTTATGTAGTATAAATTCATATCCCCTAGTACCATTTCTTTGTTTCTGACTTTATTTCTAATAGCTAGTATCATTTTACCTGCTGAATATCTCTTTCAGCACCCCAACTACAATTAATCTTCTTGCCATAAAAATTTGCCAGGCTTCTGAATTTCTCTTTTGTAAATTGTGCCAATGATATCAGACTAGAAAATGTGGGAAAATCACTGATTGGCTGTCTTCATTATCTCCTGGTACTCTTCCACTTCCAACCAATTTCCAAATAATTTTCTCACATCCATCCTTTCCTTACCAAAGTGCAACAACCCCAGTTGAAGTCCTTAATGTACCTTCTACCTGGACTATTTTGATAGCTTTGTGAATGGTTTGATCATCACCCCTTGTTTTCCAATATCTTAATTCTTATCAAGACCTTCCTCTGCTTAAAAGCTATCATGTTCCACTGAGTATTAATACAAATTAAAACTCCCCGTCTGGACTCAACCAAGCTTTCCAGATATCATCTCCCACTTTTGATACACCTTTATTATGAATTGCAAATAATTTGTAATATTGCCTCTTCTCTCTTCCGCATACAGATATACCAACCTGTAGTGACTTCTTGTTTCTATAGCTATTGACATACCACTTCTCCTTCATTATAAACTGCATGCCCTGTTTTCCATAAGTTTTTTCTTGATTTTCCCCAGAATCCTGAGACCTCTCTGTAATGACTAATATTTTTAAAGTTTATTTATTTTTTTTTGAGAGATGGAAAGAGAGAGAGAGAGAGAGAGTCCAAAGCAGGCTCCATACCACTAGCACAGAGCCCAGTATGGGGCTTGAACTCACAAACTTTGAAATTATGACCTGAGCCAAAATCAAGAGTCTGTTACTTAACTGACTGAGCGACCCAGGTGTGCCTGCAATGACAATTTTTTTAAACTCTTGTTTATGTGATCTAAAGCCCAAAACTCTGGACTCAAATACAGCTCCCAGTAGGAAAATATAGAGCAATTTAAAAATTGCTTTCCCATCTGTAAAGTAGGGATAATATTAATATCCATCTCATAAGATTGATCCAAGAAATACATGGGAAATACATTAAGCCTGCTTCTTGATATTCATGAGATCAGGGATCTTTGTTTTGCTTACTAAAATATTTTAAATGCCTTAAATGGTGCCTGGCACACATTTTTAAATGTATCATCTCAGAATAGTATAAAAATGTTAATATTTTTACCTTAATATTATTATATTCAGGACACTATAGTTATTTATATATTATTTTGTTACCCGTACCAGACAAGGAAATCTATACTTCTACTATTTATAGAACACTTAAAATCAAGTAGATACTATCCTGCCTTTGTTATTTCTGCTTTTTTGCCTTCTTTTCTTGCCTGTGATTCTCTGCTATCTTCCTACATGTTTTGGTACCCAGTAGTCCATCTTTATTTCTCTTCTGATATTATGTGCACTCTTCTTGAATGATATTATTACTCTTGGCTCTCATCTGGTCACATCAGCCCTACATATTCTTTCCTTGATGTTCAAAGCCACTTTCCCCATAAGGTCTTGTTAAGAGGCTTGCTGATGCGAATTCATTCCTTGGATCTTCCCAATTCTGCTTAGTGGTCTTCATCACATCTCAGCCACGAAATCATTTTCTTCAAAGATACTTACCCAAAACTCCCTAATTAATTTTAAAATTTATTTTCTTTTGGTATATATCATAATGAAATTTTCACCACAAAGTTTTCAGGAACTAGAACTGCTTATGTATTAGCAAGCTAATGATAAAAGTCAATAGATTATTTTCTATTGTAATATAATGATTTACATATAAACATATGAAAATGTCCATTCTTCTCTTGAAGCAGAATCATAGACCACAATTATTGTTTACCTCCACTAACAGACATAAACCCTTCAAAATCTGTGAACCCTTAAATATAAGTATAATATAATCATTGGTATAGAATAAACA